TCCCCTGCATTATCTTCCATTTTAATTTATTCCCGTGCCTGCAGAATCGATACTTACCTTTTGCAACTTCTGGGGTTTTTCTCTATTTAGGGTCAGCCTGACTGGCAACAGCAACAAAATATCTCATGGAAATACCACAGCATTCAATGCAACTCCATATTTGATGTTCATTGAACTTATGTCATTAGCACAGCAATCAATGTGCTACGTGGTAGTCAGTGTTTACCCATTCTTAAACAGGCATGCCCAATTTAGCTTCAGTGTAGGAGAAGCTAACACAAGAATCAAAGATTTTCACAATGATTTTTAAGGGGCGTGCAAAAGGGAGAAGTTTTCTCTCCCCTGACTTTGCAGAGGAATTTCTTACCTCTAATCAGGATTAGGCGATAGCATCGGAAACACAAGCAGCTGGGGTTCCATTCACTGATCTCCTCAGCTGCAAAACTGCGTCAGTGATAACAGAAAAGCACTTAAAAGCCTATCGTAGGCACAAACGCATCTTCTCAGGAGCTGTCTTGGTGAGAGGAGGGTGAACCTTGCCCAGTATGCAGGGCCTGATGGTCACAGAGCAGCATGCAATAGGACTCCCATTACCTACAGAGGTATTAGAAAAGTGTTCCCAGATGAAAGCCTTTATCCAATTTCAATTGTCCATTGAACAACAACAACATTAAGGGCAGCATTGTTCCATTTGCTACTGTGTCAAACAATGCAACGACTGTTTAGGATCATATTTTTTTCCTGAGTAGCTGAAATTACTGTGGGAGTAGAGAAGCATTTACATCCAGAAAACTTCATTCTTTAAAGCAGATGTTTTTAATTTTAATAACATCAGCCTACAGAAATGAATATCTGAAATATTTTGATTGCTGTGTGCATGTTGCTGTTTAGGAATAACACTCCATCATGGTGGGTTTACAGAAAAATTCAGGAGCCACAAGGAGAAATAAACTGCTACTAACTGTGCTACCAAGAACAATACTGCATTTTTTTTCTTTGAAAACCACTTTAAGTGCCCTCCTTTGCAGAAGAATGTCATTTTCTGCACTGTAGATGTGCCGTATTACAGACCCGTAGATCCATACTTGGAAAACTGCACATGTAAAATTGTTCATAGTGTGTGTCTTTACTTTTCCACACATGCAGCCCAGATGTGTGCAATGCACATATCACAAAAAAAATGGGTATGTACAGTTTTTACAAGCTAGGACATATCTTTATGAATAGTACACAAATGGAATTAGAAGCTCCTTGTGAATTCCTGGGTATGGAGGACATACCCTGGCCTCCAGGTAAGCCAAGATGTATGCGTATACAGTATTCACTTTTCCTACTACTCTGTCTGTATAGCAGACTGCAGTGTAGTGTAAAAGTCCTTGAAGTGACTGCAAAAAAGTGCTTGCAGTCCTTTAGTGCAACAGAATGGAGCTCAGTCCAGGCTACTTTGCCCCGTGAGAAACAATAAAACCAGCCTGCACTGTGCTCTGCCTCCCTGTGCAAGACTGGCAGTGGTATATGAGCTAGCTTGACTATGCACAATTTTTTTCCACCAAAAGTAGGTACATGCAAAAATTCAAGTCATAGAAATGGGTGCCACTCTGATGAGCAGTTGTTTTAAGCAGCTCAACTTGTACTGATAAGGTCTGGTTTTGCAAGTTTTTGTGATCTTTCTTTTTCCCACAGATGTGTTTTATAGTTGTTATTCCACACGTGATTAGGATTGAGATATCTGAACTGATCATTATATAACGTTTCTTAAAAAAATCAGGGCCTTGAATCCACTTGCCTGCTCTACTTAAAAAAAAAAAAAAAAAAAAAAAAGGCATAGGAAAAAAAGCAGTGTGATTTTCATTTAGCAACACATGAGAAAAAAATTAACTAAAGGGACTTATTTTAAAAGAATATGTTTAACTGCATACACTGCATCTGCATTCTGCTTTCATAGCTGCTAGACTTCCAAGTGACCGGTCTCTGAAAGCACCATGCGGCATGCATGTGTGTGTGCTGAGATAGGAAAAGCTCTGCACTGTGAGATAAGTGAAGCAAGTGTTTCAAAATCTCCGCTTCCAAATCACTGCAGCCCAGCAGCAGACCACTGAACCTACCAGCTATTCCCTGCTCTCTAGGTGACCTAAACCTGGATTTGAGTGCTCAAGGTAAGCAATATCAGGACTTGGTCATAAGAAAGAACAGAAAAAAGGTGTGGAAATAGATAAAAAAATGTGCCTAGCACCATAGATGCAAATACGCTTGCATTGTATGAAATAATATGAGGATGTATAAATACTTTTTACGGTGGAATATGACTGAAAAAACATCCAGGATTTAAATCTTTAGAGGGATTTATATGCAGAACCTGCACTTACTTCAAGGAGTATTAGCCCCTTTTACACTTGGAAATCCTTCCCCTGAACTACTTGTCTTCATGCTAGCATGTGAATCATTTCTCTAAAAATAAAAACCAAACACTGTCCCTATGAAATTAAAGTATTTTATCTCTATGGATGCATAAATTATCTCAAATCTCAATAGTATTGGAGTACCTAGAAAGAAAACACCCTAATGTGCTTGTTATGATATGGAAGGTGGAGCATTACTTCTGACTGAAAAATTTGTGTATCAGTAAACTATGAAAGGGTAGTGCCAGCAGCACCATAAATAATCGAAGCGTAACCCTGATATCCCTGCAGTGGTCAGATGTGAACTCTTGTGCCAGCCTTGCTACCATGGAAGTCACAGGGAATTTTATCACTGAACTGAGGGGGACAGAGCTGGATTTCCACCATCCAGAGGGGCTGGAAGGGGGAATATGTGGTCTTCTTTTCTATGTAGGTGTCTTTAGTTGTACCTGCAAAATAGTTGAGTCATAAAACCGTTGAATCTTTGTGTTTTGCTGCTAAAGAGAATCCATAAAAATAGATTTATTGTCATATTTCCCTTTTGTGTTGTACTGTTCCCTTCTATCATAAAATATTCTCGATGGTTTATAGCAAAGCAAATACAGCAGCTTAGTTCATAAACGCCAAATTCCCCTCTGTTACATCCCGGATTTCAGACATAATCGAATTAGCTCCTATTTGTGTTGATACTGCTGTCCCGAGCCGCAGTTAAGGAGGCTTCTCGAGCCCTAATGTGCGCAGAGGGGTCGCTGTGCAGGGACCGAGGTGGACCCGCACCAGCCCGCAAGTCTGTAGGAACCCGTCCAAGCAGTTTTAACTTTTATTCTTCCTGACGAAGATTTAAAGCATATTTGCTCAAACAAGAATAAGAGGCTGTGGAAAATAGAACAAATCATAAGAGCGTTTTAACAGAGAGAGGGGGAGCGAAGCCTGCGGAGCAAACCAACCCGCTCGGACTGCCTTTTGTGGGGACAGATAGGCATGGAGGGTAAGGCGGCGCTCGGGGGAAATCTCTTCTGCTGGAAAGCTCGTGTCTTCAGAGCAGCTGCTGGGGGAAAAAATAAAAACAAAAACAAAACACCCAGATAAAACACAACTCAGCATTTGGACAGGGAGATTCTGCTTTTCAGTTTGATTTTTTGATTTTGACCGAAGATCGCTCGCTCAGTGGCTCCTGTGGGCGGTCCCGCTCAACCCCGTGCCCCGGGAAAGGTGTCTGCGGGGCTGTACGGCAGAGTCTGGGGGGCCAAGGGGAGCTCGCCCCTGTGTGTCGGTAGCCACAAGCCAGGCTGTAATTACAAAGCAAACAAGAGTGAAATATTGGATCGGCGTCGCCCGTGACAAGATCTGCGCTTATTGCCGCCAATTTGTTTGTGGAGCTCTATTTAAAGGCGCTTGATTGAGGAAACGTTGAAAATAGCAGTTAGGGTTTCCCTAATGAGACCTCTAGAGGAAAGCAGTGGCATTCAGGGGGCTCTAGCAAGAGGAGGGGAAGCGCTTAACCCTTTCCAGCCGCCCTCATCGCGGCGGGGCTCCTCCCGGGCGCGGCATCGCCCGCAGGGCGCCGCCGGAGCCGCCCTCCCCGGGGAGGTGCCCTGGGCAGCGGGGCCAGCCCGCCGCCTCCCCACCAGCATTCAGCACTTCGACCACCAGCCGGTGGGAGGGGTGGAGGCGGCCCCGCCGGGGCAGTGCCGGGGCAAGGCTGAGCATCCCTGGTGTTTCCCGGAGGGGGTGGACCGTGCCCCCGAGAGTGCGCTCCACGGGGACGTCGGCGTCGGGGCTCTGTCCCCCGATGCCCTTTGATGTAGTGGGTCGGATCGCCGGGTGGCTACGGGCTGATGCTTGAACCCAGCAGCAAAGGGCGGGTACAAAAAAAAAAAAAAAAAAAAAAGGTCCTTGGAAATGCTGGAAAGACCGGGAACGTATCGAACAAGAAACGATATTTTTCACACCAGCACGCACTGCGCAGGGGCCTGTGACACTCCCATATGTCCATCGTTCCGATTTCTCTCACTGTGTGAGCCTGCCCCGACACTCATTCTCTCAATCTCACACACGCTACGTACTCAATTAGCGCCTGTCTGAGCCCCGTATTACACACAAATGAGAGAGACCTCTTGTAAAACGCATGTTGATAATATTTTGAAAGGCGCTAATGCCTGTGAGGGAGTGTGGATCACAGTCCTCTTCTGCAAACTGCTTTCTCCTAGTGCTAACACTTGAACGACATTGAGATCTCCCCGCTCTCGATTTTATAAATCAACTTTAGTCGGGAAAAACCGGGCTTGCTTTCTCAATGAACTGCCTGTAACCTGGAAGACCCTGGCATCTTACCTAGAGCATGTCTGCTTGCCCCTCTCCCTGGCCATCGCACCAGCTTCTGCTCACACATCACCGTCAGCCTGTTCATCTTGTATATGTGTGTGTATATATATAGGTATGTATGTACGTACGTGTGTATATACACCTGGACGGGGATCAAAATAAACTTTTAGGGTATACCTAATAAAAAGTGAGCATTGTCTCTCCCCAGAGGAAAGAAATAGGGAAAAGCAGAAAAACAAAGTGTTGACTTAGTAAAATAAGTTCTGCACGGTGATGTAAAATGTTTATTTTTGTTGTCGAATTTACACCCCCAGGTTTTGGCCGCGGCTCCGTTTTCCAGCAGGTCTGGGGAGGTACATGACACTCAGTTCTCCATTTTCCGGTTTCTTAACTTTCCTGAAAAAAATAGTAAAAAAAAAAAAATTCCGGCTACAGTGAAGCAAATAAACATTTTACGTATCCACAGATAGGTTGTATCATCTGTACGAACAAATTACAGTACGCGGCCGCACGTTTCTTGTAAAGTCTCCGGTCTTCTGTTTATGTAATGCCATTTCTGTTTGTAATTATTTTATTTTAATTTTATGTCACTTTTAACAGAAGCCAGACCGGTTTTCCCTCCGTGTTTTGTATACAATGCTTTCTTTCTCGATAAGATGTTCTGTCCTATCTTTTCGGGTTTTTTTCTTTTAAAAAGTGTTTATAGTTCCCCACGAGCAATTCTCCAATATTTCTCTCTTGCATTTTAAGGACTTGTCCCTGTCTTGCTTTATTTGTTTGTGTGAAATTTAGTTTGAAAGGAGATCAGAGAGAGCAGGAGGGGTTTGTAATAAGAGAATGACCAAGCGACCTAAAGGCTGATTATATGTCATTAACTGGAGACTTGGTGTATCCAAATTACCAAAAAGACCTCACTCAGCCAGATCAATTACACCGAGATAGGCATATAGGAATTGCGGTACGAGCTGATGCTTCCATCAAGTGTGCAGCCGACATTTGCAGAACTCAGCCGTTGAGTTTTCAGACGAGCTCCTGTCCTGAAGCCAGTCCCGGGCAAGCAGAGCAGGGTGCAGTGCAGCAGGTACACGGCGCGGGGGGCACCGGCAGGACGACACCGACATTTTGGGGCTTGTAGTTAGGGCCAAATTGCAGTTAATTTTCACTGCTCCAGAGGGATTTTCTTTTTTTTTTTTAAGCCGAGCGAGGTTACTTTTGATCTATGAATGCTTCTTAAACCCCAGCGTCTTTAAACGGAGACTTTACATGAAAAATGACAATAAAAGTGTTGATTTTGGTTAACCTAAACCCACAATGATGCCAACCTAACCTTTTTCTTCCTCCAATGTCAGAACTTCAGATAATGGAGGACAAAATATTCATTAATTAAGTCAATTCTATTCCCGAGCTATTTCGTCAGAGTCAAACTCAAGAGCATCTTAAGACGCTCTTTTCCGGGAATGCAAATAATATTACACGGAAAAACAGTATGTTTCTCTGTATACATGTGCGTGTTTATACACGCGCATATATAGGAGATATCTATATAACAATTCCAATAAATAGAGACCCTCTGCGTTCACTGCAGAATTTTGTAAGGTCTTTATTACCGTTCTTCTGACAAAGAAAGAGTCTCGTTTGGAGTTTACAACGTTTTTCGGTTTTTTCTGTGATTCCTGTCTAGGGTCTAAATGCAACTCTGGATCCTCAGTCACAAATATAAGCAGTCCTCGAATAATTGCTTGCACATGCAGTGGTTAAGCGCGTAGGGTCCCGTGCTTACCGCCAATCATTGCAACTTCATTGAGACTTACGAAATGGTCAGTATCTTGGTTTTTTCTCGTCCCTGATCTTTTTCCTTTTTTTTTCTTTCTTTCTTTTTTTTTTTTTTTCTGTATACAAAACGGCTGCGAGATTACCATGCCTGTAATATGTGGGCGTTCATCACCGATATTAGTAACGTAAACCAGGGTTCCTCCATCTCCAACAGCAGCAATTAATCCGGGCCTGCTGGGCCCGATCCCGCCCTCTGCCCTGGACGTCGAAATCCAGGTTGTGTGAGCGCAAGAGAGGGTGCAAGCAGGCCCATTAGGCACAAGTCCTTTTCATTAACCCTCACTGACATGTTGACCTTCAAATGATATTTCTCCGTGCCTCTTTTACAAAATCCATTTTCTTCCGGATTTAGGTCTTCTCGCGAACTCCTAAGCAATGGCCCAGGGATAGGATGCGTTGCAGCCCTGGGACACGGGCTGCTCCAGCGTCCCCAAATCCATCCGAGAACGATACCCCTTTCTAACACGTTTGGTCCCGGGTCAATGACATCACGCACTCTATAAATTCAAACGCGTCTCGGCTTTTGAAGCCGTACACCGGGTGTTTGAGCGATGTGGTAGGCAGCTGGGAGGCAGGAGAGGGAATCGGCACCCTAGTGCTTTGAGACCTAAGGGGAGGAGAGCCGTCGAGGGGGCTGCCCGCCTAGGACAGCGCCTCAAAAGCAAAGGACGGGGTGCCTGCCCTTGGGATGCTTCAGTCTGTCTGACTGTTTCTTTGCTTTAATGAAAACTACGAAGGGAGATCCCGGCGCTGCTGCACGGAGCAGGGACGGGCGGGTCTGTGGTCGGTACCGGGTACCGCAGTGCTGACGCGGGGCCGCCGCTCCCGCCGCTGCCCTGTCCCGGATGGCGTCCAGTCCCCCAAACTCGCCCCGCCGGCATCGTACCCTCCTCAAAAGGAAGGTGCGGTAAAGAAGTAAATGAACGGGAGGCTCGCTGCCCAGCCATCGGCGAGGCGCTTCTCTGCCCCCGGCCTGCTCCTCAAAGGGCTTGTCGCGGGGTGGCTGCGGCGTTCCCAGCCAGCCAGCACAGCCGTCCCCAGCAGATGTGGGTTTCCGACCACCCAGCGTAGGTACCTCGTCCCCGTTTCCATGTGTTTTTTCCCGACTGATTCGGAGAAATTAGCTTAATTTGCAATTTAACTCAATTCACATCAGACCGGGGGGGGGGGGGGGGGGGGGGGGGGGGGGCACAACTCTATTGTTCTGTTATCCCAACTCCCATCCTACTTTTGGCCCGGAGGAGAGAAGTGACCTGACGATAAGCGGACCGGCGGCGACTAAAAGCGGACCGGCGGCGACTAAGCGCCGGGGCAGGGCAGCGGGTGGCCCCGGCGGCGCTGAGGGGACGCCCTGTCCGCCACCCCCCGCCGCTGCCCCACTCCTCGGGCTCCTGCCGCTCACTCCCCGGGCGCCGCGGCGCACCCGTCGGGGGGCAAGGGCAGCCCCATCCTCCCGCTCAGCCCGGGGAGGGCTGTCGTGCTGGAGAGTCAACAAAGGCAAGGCAAGGCAAAAGCAAAGATACAGTCCCCCCCACCCCCGACAAAATAAAATAAATTTTAAAAAGCGGGAAGAGGAAGAGAAAACCAGCCTCAGCACAGTCACCACCAAAATTTCTTTATTATAGCAAGTTAGGAAAGTCCTGTCTGGCAGCAGAGTTCAGATAAAACGCCATCTAACATGTAACCGTTTTGGCAGGGAAATAAAGTGCCATAAGACTAGGGTTTCTTTTTCTTTTCTTTTCTTTTTCTTTTTTTTTCTTTTTTTTTCCTTAGTTGGTTGGGGTTTTTTCTCCATGTGATTTGTCCCCGAGAAAAAAACTATTCAAATCAAAAAATGGAAGATCGGCAAGATACTAATGCTTTTTAGAGGACTGTGAGCATAGTATTGGGAAAGGTACTTTGTGCTGAAGCGGCTTTCAGTGCGTGGATCAAACAGAAAAGGTTGCAACCCACGATCGGGCATCCTGAGTAGTGAAAAGCTGAGGGAGGACACAAGAGTTAAATTGCTCTAAAACTCGATTTATAAAACTCATAAACAACTGATAGGTTAGGATAGGAGGAAAATATAAGATCCTGCTGGGTGCTTTATCTAGAGACCCTCTTTCTCCAAAGTTAATTAAGCAATAATGATGCTAGCTTTGGAGTCTGGTGTTCTGATCGATATCTCCTGTACATTTTATTACTTTTTCTCTGTCTCATGTTTTCCGTTTCCTTCATCGTGGGAGATGTTATCGGAGTGATCGTAGTGGCCTGCCACAGAGACTGTCACAGTTGCAGTCCAGCCTGCAGTATATTGGAAAGCTCCTACACAAACAGAGAGAGTGCAAAGAAAGACAATCCCGTCTGCAAGCCGATATAACTTTCAGGCCCTGACAATGCCCGCTTCTTCTTCGCATCAAGTAAATATTGCAACAAAATAAAACTGGAGAACCGCTGCAGGATCTGGGCGGATTTTCAGGCTGAGCTCTGCAGATATCGCATCCCGAGCAGCAGAGGCACGCTGCCTGGCCGCTCCGGGGCTCTGCTCCGCCTGCACGGTCTGCCCAGGTCCTTCCTTAAATTTAAAAATCCACCCTGCAGACACGTTACTTCTTTAGGATAATACAATATATACATATGTACGTGTGCGTATATAAATACAGATATGCATCAGTCGGTTACAAACATGTGTGTGTAAGTATGAGATATATGTGTGTATACATCAATTCTACATCTGGACTAGTTTTTCACTTTCGTACTCAGTTTACACCCAGACGCTCACGCATATGTGTATATGCTTATAAAATGTACGCCTGCGTGTCTGTGCTCCGTGCATGTCTCCTCACTGTGCAAATCCAACTCTGCACTCCCCGTCCTATAGAACCGCAGGGCCGGCGCTGCGCTTCGCCTTCGGTATTTCCCCGACGAACCCAGCTCCCCCGTACTGCAGCAGGCTGCTCCTTGGCGGACGGTCTCGTCCGCGGAGACTGCCCACTGCCTGCAGGGCATTTCCTGCCGAAAGCCCGCAGACTCACCCGCAAAGTCCCCGGGCCCCAACAAGCCCCTGTGTCCCGGTGGCACCCCGACGGCCAGCCCGTCGGCAGCCTCTCTTCGCGCCGAGACCGCCCGGGCTCAGCTTGCCTCCTCTACCCGGGTACTGAGTTGATTTTCGCCCTCTTCCCAGCACCCAGCGCTTCCCCTCGCGGTTTTTCCCACCGACTCTGCAGTGGGGCCGCAGAGCACACTGAGCTGCTGCAGAAATCGGGCTTGCAGCTCTTGCTGCTTCCTTTCACAGACTCCTCCATCTCTATCTTTCTCTTTCTTTAATTTATGACTTCTCAGCTCCTGTTGACACAGTTTTCCACACTGCCTATATTGTAAAATTGCATTGTAATATACACCGAAGAAGCTTAGACGTCAGCCAGCGCAGCTAAGGCTGGGTATTTGGTATTTCGCAGCTATTCAGTAATGCTCGGTTCCATTTGAAGATGACAACAATTCTTTTCGACTCCTAGTTATCTATGAGTTGCAGCTGAGATCCATTTTTCTTTTGTAATGTCTTCAAGCTTACCGAAGTAAAGCACCTAAATAGCTACGAGACATTTCCTCCTAGCCTGGCCGTTAAACAAACATTTAACTACTCCCTTTCGATAACTAAACCTGCTTTCTGCAGATGCTGGTCTTTTTTTATTGCAGAGGCAGGAATGTGGCGAATTTTTTTTTTTTTTTTTAGTAAAAGCTAGAAAATTAGCTGTAAAAAATACTCGGTTACTTACCGATCATAACAGTTAAAGAGGCACGAAACCCATTTCAGGCGCTTAAATCACTTGGGTGAACACGGGTGGAGATGCATAGGCGCAGGCAGCAAGCTGGAAAAGAATTGGTTAAAGTCAGACTTATTGTTAGTGTCTCAAAGTAATTCTTTCTGGAAGAAAACACCATCCCTGGCCAAACCCCGAGCGCTCTGCTCCCTCGGTCAGTCAGCATTCGCGCAGCCGGAGCCAACCCGTGCTAGCCCGGGTCGCACGTCGGGTGACAGGCGAGGCAGAGTAGTTTCGCCCCCTCCTCATGGGAACTAACAATCTCGCTGTGTATATTAACCAGCAATACAAGTATAAGCCGGAGCGTTGCTGGGGCATGTCTGTCACAACCGGGCACCGATGGAGTGCGCTCTCCGAAGCCGGTTTTATTTGTTCCTCTACCGGACCGGCACAAAGCACTTTGCCAAAGCAACCTCAGAGCCTATCAAATGCTCACATAGATTTTTGCCAAGAAATTCCTTGGATCCATACTGTACCTGTTTTGAGATTATCCGATATTTAAGTTTTAATTAGTTTGTAGGGGGGGTTGTTATTGCTTTTTTTAATATCTTTTTTAATGTAGATTTTACTATAAGGCATCTGCTAAACACTTGCATTAACCTCTGCCTCCATGATAATTTTCCCCCCCTTGTTTTAATTACATTAGGGATGCGGAGGGGCAGCCAATCCTAAAAGAGGAGCTCGGCAATTAGCAGAGCGAACATCAAAAAGTTTTATTGCGGAGGGCGGCGGGCCCCGCCCCCGCCGCGGCCATTGGCGGCCGCCGCTTCTGACGACATATATTAACCCGAGCGGCCCTAAACATGTAGCTGTACATGGAGATTGGGCCGGGGAGCCCTGCCAGTGCCCCGCGCCGCGCCGCGCCGCGCCGAGCCCCGCTGCCACCGCGCCCGGCAGAGCGGTGCGGATGTCCCAGAGGAGCACCGGGGCGCTGACCCCCGTGGCGGGTAGGGCAGGGATGCGAGTGCCCGCCAGGCACTGACGGCCCCGCCACCGCGCAGGGCAGAGGGGAGCGCCGCCCGCCCGCCCGCCCCGAACCGGGGGCGCATGGAGGGGGGCCGCGTGTAAGTACCAGCCGGCCGGGTCGCGACGGACTTGGCGAGAGAGGAGGGAAGAAAGAGGCGAGGAAGATCCCGGGCTGGGAAGCCAAGCCATTTTGTTTTGGTCGACATCTCTCCATAGCTTTTTTATTATTACTTTTTCTGTGTGCGCTTCCTCGAAGACCCGGCCCTGGGCAAGGAGGAGAAGGAGGTGGAGGCACAACGCATGAGCGGCGGCGGCGGCGCCCGGGGAGGGGGGATCGCTCGGGCACCGGCGGGGACTTTGCAGCAGCGCCCTATGGAGAGGCAGCGGGCAGCGGGACAGTGCTGAGGGGTGAGCGGCGGGCAGCATCTCCCGCCGCTGCGGCGGGGGGTGGGGGGCGGGCGGGGAGGGGAAACTTTTGTTTTGGGGCCCTGGGGGGGAGGGGTGGGGTGCTCTAGGGAGCGGGGATGAGTCTCGTGGGCGGCTTCCCCCACCACCCGGTGGTGCACCATGAGGGTTACCCTTTCGCTGCCGCCGCCGCCGCCGCTGCCGCCGCCGCCACACGCTGCGGCCACGAGGAGAACCCCTACTTCCACGGCTGGCTCATCAGCAGTCACCCGGAGATGTCCCCCCCCGACTACAGCATGGCTCTGTCCTACAGTCCCGAGTACGCCAACGGGGCGCCGGGCATGGACCACTCCCATTACGGGGGGGTACCGCCCGGGAACGGCCCGCCAGGGCTCGGGGGGCCCCGGCCGGTGAAACGCCGGGGCACGGCGAACCGCAAGGAGCGGCGCAGGACTCAGAGCATCAACAGCGCCTTCGCGGAGCTGAGGGAGTGCATCCCCAACGTGCCCGCCGACACTAAGCTCTCCAAGATCAAAACCCTCCGTCTGGCCACCAGCTACATCGCCTACCTCATGGACCTGCTGGCGAAGGACGACCAGAACGGGGAGGCGGAGGCCTTCAAGGCAGAGATCAAGAAGACAGACGTGAAGGAAGAGAAGAGGAAGAAGGAGCTGGTCAGTGCTCCGGAACGGGACGGGGCGGGATGGGTCAGGGGAGGTGCGGAGAGGAGGCTGCTCGGCTGCCCGCCGGTACCCTATCCCGGCGCTCCAGGCGCCTGGCTGAGCAGAGTGGCCGGGGGATGTCCAAGGGAGACACCTCGGTCCCACTCGTCCCTGGCCGTAACTGCGGGCCAAAAGTGGGACAGCGCACAACCGCGGGCGGCCGTCGGCGTCCGAATCCGAACTGGAGGCTAAGAGCAGCCGCGAGGAAAACGCTGACACATTAGGGCCCCCCGGGGAGGTTACTTCCCGGGCTGCTGCTTGTCCCGGATCCCAAACCGTGATCCCGCAGGAGACAAGCCTCCACTCTCTTTAAATAAAAGTCTGGAGGCATGATTATCTGCTAAGCCAGCATGGCTTTAAAACGTCGGCAAGTACGAGGTTCGCAGCCATAGGCTTTCCTGCCCCTGCGCTCGGCGCTTCAACTTTTTTTAATTTTTACGGGATAGTCGGCTTAGGCAGCGCAAGCCCGATTTCGTGTAGGCCCTATGGCACGCTTGCGTGTGATTGATTCCCTCAGATTTGGGCTGGTCGCGAATCCGATGTTTTGCCTCGATAAGTGCCAGTGCCCATCTTCTCCACCCAATTAGGGAGGGGGTATGGTTTAGCCGAGACCTTATCGTAATCCCCATCACCCCGTGGACGACTGGCGCCGCTCAGCCTCCAGCCCGCTTCACCGTGCTCCAGGCGTGGAGGGCAGCGGGATGGCGCGGAGCGGGAATCGGCCTCCGCCGGGAACGCGGGCAGCCGCGCACGACACAGGGCCGTTCCCACGGGCGGCTGCTTCGTTCGCGGCGAGACCCCGTGGAGGGGGCCCCGCTATGTCCGCTGCAGCCCACAGGCCTCGACAGCAACTCAGGTCTCCTCATAGTTTTCGATCTCGAGACAGGGCAGATGCGAACTAGAAAGGAGAGGAATATATCTAACCTTTTTTTTTCTCTGCTTTCCCCCTCCTGTTTCTCTCTCTTCCCTCGCATCCTGTCTCCCCAGAACGAAATCTTGAAAAGCACAGTTAGCAGCAACGATAAGAAAACCAAAGGGAGGACTGGCTGGCCGCAGCATGTCTGGGCTTTGGAGCTCAAGCAGTGAGCACGACAGGACTGGAGGAGCCGTCCTCTTAGTCTCGGTAGTGAGCTCTTCTCTGAGGACTCTTTGTATTTGGAATCGTCCAGTTTATTTATGTGCAATTTCTCCCCCAACCCCCCCCCAAAATGTGGATATTTGAAGGAGAGGGAAAAAAGCATTCCATATATGAAGAGGAAACTCCAGCTTGGTAAGGGGTAATGTCTCTAAATGTTTCGTGAATGTTATTTGCTCTGTATAAAACACATGGGGAAAACAGAACCATAGAAAAGGAAAAAAAAATCCCTCCCTGGCATTAGTGTGTATGTGAAGTGTATCTTTAATACTTGGCCTTTTGGATATAAATATTCATGGGATTATAAAGCTATATTTCAACAGAAGCAGTTGCACCAATGTTTCGATTGACTCGGTATTTAGTGTTGTAATTTTGTTGTGGTCGTTCGGTATTTGAAGATGTTTTCAACAGTTACTGGGTATGTGCACTTCCGTCCGTAAGGGGAAAAGTGGAATCTAATTAATATTGAAGGTGTAAACGTTGTAAGTACTCAATAAACCACTGTGTGTGTTTTTTACAAAACAAAAGAAAAAAAAAGAAAAAGAAAAAAAAAAAGAAAATCCAAATCTTTTTATGTTTTATACCTCAAAATGTTTTGAATAACAGCGTTGTTTATGGCTTTTTTTTCATAATATTTAAAATATTCGGAAGTAAACTAAATTATAAAGATGGCTCCTAAGTTTATTTTTAAACAAATGACTGAGTGAAAGGAGGGGTAGAGGGAGGGATCGCTCAGCCCCGTGAGTGTTGAACAGAAACCGGCAGTTCAGCTGAGTAGGAATTCCTTGTGGTGGTGTTCTCCATGCAGGAGACCTACTGCGAACGGGAAATGGACAAGGGTGCAAACCCCGGGCGGGTCAGGAATAGCAGAGATGCGCGGTTTTCTTGCCGCGGGAGCCCGGGCGGCGGCGGTGCCAGGCGCGGGCCCGGAGCGGGGGAGGACCGCGGGGGCGGCTTCCCGGAGAGAGGCCGGAGGCAGGCGAGAGAGGCCGGCGGGCTTTTCTCGGAGTGATTATGTAGCAGGTAATTTTACGTCAAGGAATAAAGAGCGAACAAGGCAAGGGATTTGCGGAGGCGTACGGGGGGAGGAGGTGATGGTGTTGTAGGGAATATGTAAGATTTACAATGAGCTATGGTGAACTTAATATTAACTTTGTGGTTCCTAAAACTCTCCTGGGTTGCACGTTTCCAGTACGCTACAGCGAGTACAGGGATTTTTAACCTTTTTTATCTAACTGCAAACTGCAGCAGCTCTGGCTCTGCTTAGTAGATTCACTGCTTTCTCAACAGGATCTCTCTTCCTTTTTATCTCTCGCCCTGTCTGTAGACTCCTTTACAAGAGTCCCGTTCCTAGGTCGGCAAGTTTTCTGCTCCCCAGTATCAAGGCGAGCTGCAGACATTCAGAGGTGGAAAATGCGTGGCGTGCTTCTCTATCACAGGCAGGCAAGGGAAAAATTAAAAGGTTTTCTCATAAGGAAGCTGCTCTAGGTATTTTTGGCCGTTCCTGGTTAAGCACAGAGTTTTCCACCTTTTCCATAATGAAATTCGGGCTCGTATTTTAAATCATCTCAATTTAAACCAAACTGGCTCTCTCTTCAGGTCCAAGGCTTCATACCTACCTGCCTTCCCGTGCCGCCGCGCCTAAGGAAGTGGTTCCCGACGAGATCCGGCGTAAGCGTAGGTAGATGTGCAATTGCCCATAAAAAGATAAGGGAGCCCTTGCGCCGTTTAGTCGCCCCTGCTGACAGTGGGGAGGTTGCGGGGTTACAACAACCGGACAAAAGTGATGTGCCCTCCCTCCCGTCGGGTCAGGCAGCCCGGCTCTGCTCTCCGGCGTGGGTCTGTGTTTACAGGCACTTGCCTCTGTTTATAACACTTGGAGAGAAGAATCTCCCCCCTTGTTTGCTTTTACTTGCCTATTAGCTGTCCAGCTGATGAACTGGAGCTTCTCGCACTCCCCATTCTCTGCTCAAACAACTATTTTTTTTCTTTATAGCGGTACACGAAAGAATAAAAGGGGAGAGGGGTGGCTGCGAATGCTGCGGTGCGGCAGGTTCCAGGCAGCCTCTCTGCAGATGCTGTGTCTTCCCTTCACCGAGTTACCAGGCTACAATTCCCCCGGGGAACGCGCGGCGGGGCCGGGGGCTAGCGGGCCGCTCCGATATGCAGTCTCCGAATCGCCTGTCCGATATTTCCCCCTCAATAATCTTCCATTCTTGAAACGTCAGATTATCAGAACCGTGAGCTCCTCTGGATCCACTACGGACTACCTCTTTTAATTGCTCACTAACGAGGATGTTGCTATTTTCTCAGGAGCAGCCATTCCCGCAGCTAAATCACAAGAGCCCTAGACAGGCCGGAGCCGACAAAAATGTAGGGTTTGACGTTAAAAGCTAAATGGGGAAGCAGAAGGTAAATTGATGGTAGATGAGGATGTCAG